AGAGAGAGAGAGAGAGAAGAGGGGGGAAGCATTTTCCCCACAATTCCATGTCCTAACTTATCAGTAAAATAATAGAATAAAATAGGCACAATTTGTGTTTAAGTGTTTGTGTGACTACTGAGAGAAAGCAAGAGTGGGGGTTGGAGTTGTTATATTTGAAACTTCTTAGCAGAGTTAGAAAAGGGTGTACAGATGTGTTTGGTTCTATGAAGAAGAACAGATTTGATTACATGGTCCATATATTTTCAGTCTATAATTATGATCAGATAGCAGATCCAAATTAACGGAAGTAACAAAAATTGAAACCATGGTTTAAGAGAAATTCATTTATCTATCTAATAATTGCACAAATAGCAGAAGGCTTGCCCGGCAAAACTAACTCTATTAAACTGTTCTTTGTCCCTGGAGCAGAACACTACAGTACCAACAGTATATAATCCAGCAAATATCAAAAACAAGAAAAAGAAAATGAGAGCTTTATGATGAACCAGGCCTTGTTTCGAAAACATGATCCTGATATTCCTGATAGACATATATTATTTTAGACTTTAAACTCTAATGTCAGCTCCCCAACCAGATCAAACATTAAGCACATAGTGATAAGTGTGTAGTATCAGTAGTACTAAACATGCAGATTATCATAAATTAAGGAAGAAGGGAGATAATTATAAGATGGATAGGGAACTATTCAAAGAGTTCAATTCCTAGCAGACATGTATCACATATCTCAGCTGCTTATCCTAATCAAAACATTATTTACGAAAGCAAGAAAGGCACCCAATTTCCTCTTAGCTCTTGGATCAGGAAACTGGGATTGATGCTTAGACCAAAGTGTGGCAGCTCTCACATACTAATTACTGAGGTAAGAGACCAAACTCCAAGAAGTGCACCCAAATGCATGGCAGCTCTTACATACCCCCCACCGCCCACTGAGGCAATAGACCAAACTCCAAGAAGTGCCAAATACATGGCAGCTACATGCTACCCACTGACGCAAGAGACCAAACTCCAAGAAGTGCACCCAATTGCTAAATTGTTTGCACCTGATCTGATATACTTACAGTTGGAAGAGCATACCACACATCAGCTGGCCACAGTACATACACTACAACAAGAGTATCCACCATTCGTTACTGAACACTGATAATTGACAATGCAGAACTGCAGATTAATGATGCATGGACTTAAGATGAATTTCCTTTGTTGGAAACTGCAGTAAATATCTACTGACCATTACCAGAAATAAACAACAGATACCCCTTTGTTGTACCGTATACCATGTACTGTTTGTATATGCTTTCAAATCCATAAGATTAGCATAGAGAAGCTGGATTAAGTTAACCGTTTCTCAAAAAAAGAACATAGAGAAGCTGGATTATACAATACCTGCTTAGAGTCTCTGAATCATTGGCCAATGCTCCAATCACCCAATAGATCAGGGTCTGAAACATGGCATCCATTAATCCATAAGAAAAGTAAAGCACAAATGGCCCCGCATACTCAGACCCTGAAGTCTTAAAATCGAGCACGTTCTTTGGTGGGTTTTTTACCGAGTAATTCAACTGGTTGGCAAGCCCACCCCCCCACACCGCTGTGCCAAATAACGCCACAATTCCAATCCCCACAAGCCCCCTGGTCCTCCTGCTCGAAAAGCTAAAGTCCAAGATATACCCAATCCCAACTGACCCAATCATCTGAGCCCCCCAATAGAACACATTGTTCAAACCCCTTGTCCTCAAATTGAACATCATCGCATTCACGTTGTTAAATTGATATGTATAGAAGAAATTGCTAGCCCAAGAAGCCGGAATGATGAGGAGCATCTTCCAATTCAAGAAGAGCTTCAAAATCTCAATTGACTCAGACGACACATTAGAGTATCGAACCAGGGTGGCTCGTGTACCATCATCACGCACCACCTCACTCGGGTGGAGCATGGAGAGGGTGAGGACTGTGCCCAATGACATGAAGCACATGAACGCTATATACGTTCCATCATTCACCGATTTCGCCTCAGTTCTATGATAATTCAAAACGAAGGGGATGAGGCCTCCTACGACTCCCCCCAAATTGAAAGTGCTCCAAAACAGAGAGATATATGTGCCCTTTCGACCGGGCGGCGGGTAAGAAGTCATGATGGCGCCCTGCCCTGCCCATAAGAGGCCAGCTCCCACACCTAGTACGGCACCAGCCACTATAACAAAGGCTTGGTGCGGATGGTGATTATAATAGAGGAAGGAACCAGCATATAGGACATAGGTCGAGCAACCAGCAAAGAGAGTGAGGTTGGGGCCAAGAACATTGTAGATACCACCTCCAAGGACTCCAAAGATGGCAAAGGTTGTGTAAAGTGCGGTGTTTGCATTGTTAGCAACTCTGTGATTGAGTTGGCCACCCCCACCCAAGCCAGAGAGGGCATTGAACATGCCAGGGCAACAGAAGCAAACTAGACCAATAAGGCTTACCTGCACAATTGGGGAGTTGTATCTGAACATCCCTTTGAGTCCATCACTTCTGGTGATGGGGCCTTCTTCCACGTTGTTCTTGCTCACTCCTCCTCCATTTCCTTCTGAACCCATGGTCCTCAAAATTCAAGTTAGGCTCCTGTTTGTGTGACCCAAAAGCTCTTTTAAACCAAATTAAAAGATAGCAAGCAAGTCTGGCAAGCGATGACATTTATGCACTGCGAAACTCATAATCCAAATTCCAATTCAATAATGCGAAAAATATCGTGTGGGACCGCTTTTTAGGTTATATATAAAAGGGCAGATTTTGGGTTAGTTTTCAATTTCAAAGGAAGTAAAACGATTAAACATGTGCGAGTATCGTTCCCTAAGAGCACAAGAAAATGACGAGAAAGTCCACCCTCTTTTTTTGAAAGGACAAGCTTTTTTTCTTTTCTTTTCTTTTATTTATTTATTTATTTTTTTTTAGAAAAATCTAAAACTGTTAAGTAAGAGATTTGCGCCGTACCATTCAGGAAAGAATAGAGTAAGAGATATCATCATAAAGCTCATTTATAGTACTACCAACACTTACTTTTTTGGTTTTTCGGAAAATCAACGTAAAAACTAGGCTAAGGGTGGCAACATGCCGAACCTATCCCCACCCTGTTAGGTTCGGGAAAAGCCAAAAAAACAAATGAAAAAAAAACATATAAAAAAATAAAAATAAAAAAAAATAAATAAGAAGAAGACTAGCTAAGCTAAAAGAGCCCACACTAGTCGTAGTCTGGCCCTTGGGCTACAATTAGTAACTCGAGCCCTCTTTTTTTTTTAGACCAAGCCAACCGAGTCAGGCCGAGGTACCCAGCCCATTGAAAGCCCTACAATTGGCTTCATTTTTTAAGTATGACCAATGCGCTCTCAATCGATAAACCCAAAGGGAGCACAAAGAAACAACCAAATAACTGCCATGTGTTGTTCTTATCCATCGCTAAGTATAAACGTCCATTTTTTGTCGAGGGCACACAATAGCCATATGGAAGGCAGTTAGGGTTATCTCATAAAATACAAGAGCCATTTATTCATTTATAATAGGAAAGCACTTCCCATTAATACCATAAGAATTTGTTTGGAAAATGAGGGAGGTGGGGCGCCTGCTTAGTGGCTTTGTCTTGTCTTCTCAGCTTGAGTCATTTGGAATGGACCTTTTGTTGTAACTGACATTCAAATCACACAAGGAAAAAAAAAAGGTCCTTGTGTGACTTTTAAAGCAAAAATGTCACATCGATAGAGCTAAGTTTGTGCTGTGCTTAACAAAATGAGGCATCCAATTTCCAATGGCCGAAAAAGAAAGTTTGGGAAATGGGTGCCCTAAATCACTTTTGGCCGGCTGCCGGCCTTGAGATTACTCAGCAGCTCCTACACCAAATATGGGTATAAATTAATAAACATTTTCACAGGGGCTGCCTTTGCCCCCCACTTGTTTGGGAATTAGCACCCCACCTCAAAACTTGGGAGATGTTTTGGGTGGCAAACTAAACATTCACGCGAGGAAAGCTAGCCCCACTAATGTGTTGAATAACTGGCGTAGGGAATATTTTAGAGCGAAGTTATATACTTCCCTTGTCGATAGGGGTCCCATGTTAATAGACGGCTTCACACCTTTACATTGTTTTTATTTTTAATTTTTTTCTACAAAATAGTTTGACACCAAATTTTGGCATTTACTCCACTCTTAAACACGTACATGTAAAAAATATTCCTGCTAAAATAAAATAACCAAAATAGCTTTAAGGGGTCGTTTGGGTATCTAGAAATATATTATCTGATAAATATATTACAGACATAATTCATTACTGACATAATACATTACCTACAAATGGATTGTAACTATTTGGGTGTATCTAGATGCAACCTGAGAAATACATTGTTATTGTTTGGCTATGTCCAGAAAAAATCTGGAAAATACATTATCAATATGTTTTTGTTAGGAAATACTGTGTTAATTTTATCTATAGTAAGGTGATTTTCTTAATATTTCTTTAGGATAAATAATCAATTAAAACTACTTTGTTTTTTAATATATGAAAGTAACATCCACATGGATTAATTTAATATCTCTTCTCCCTATAATTATTCTGTTAAAAAAGTTGTTGTTGTTGTTGTTTGGCTATGTCTGAAGGAAATCTAAAAAATGCATTATCGTCATTTTGGCTTGAAAATATGGCATAAATTTGCTCATAGCAACGTGATTTTTTTTATATCTCTTAATTTTTTGCCTTTGTTAAGGAAAATATCAATTAAAACCCAATAAAAAACAATTATAATGCTCATATTAATATAACAACAATATTTTGAAGACGTGTATACCAATACATAGGGGGGTATGAGAACTATCATTCAAATATTAAATCTAGAGATAGATCTCGATTTTTCTTGAGTGATAATTTTTGGAAAACTCACCGATCAGGATCAAAAATTCTTGATTATGATTAATGCCTTAAATCTATGCCTTTTTTATTTGAAATATCTTGAATCATAAAAAAAGCATAAAAAAAATATGAAAAAAAAATCTTTCATTTCTTTGGTAAGTTCACCAATGTGCTAAATTCGGATCCACCCCATCTATCCGTATTTTAAAACACTTAGTGATATAGAGGGACATTTTAGACCAAGAATATGGGACATGTAGGATTAAGTTTAGGTTAGGAATTTGACACCTCTGGCTATTTTGATAAACTTTGAAGGGAAAATATCTCCGTACAACCTCTTTTTATGTTTCATTTCTCAACATATGCAAATTTTTAAATCATATCTAGTGGCAGAGGGCTTATGTGTACCGTTGGACCAACTTTATCTCTTTTGACCATATGTTTTTAGCCCACACAAAAGTTAAAATGATAATTTTTTTTTCTATTCATTTTTAAACTCCTCTTTCTATTTCTTTCTAAACCCCCTAGTCTCTCTTTTCCCGGGTTTCTCCCCACAGAGAGAGAGAGAGTTTTGGGAAGAATCATGTGGAGAGAGAGAAAGAGACAGAGGTTAGGAAGAAACACTAGAATAGAGAGAGAAAAAGGGATTTATAAAGGGATAGAAAAACGATGTCTTTTTGTTTGGGCTAAAAATATAAGGCCAAACAGGGTAAAGTTGATCTAGAGTGTTAGAAGATATAACACATGAGAACTTTATGCTACATATGTGTTTTTAAGCCTTGCATCTTTTGATAAATGAAACCTAAAAAGGTGTATGAAGATATTTTCCCAACTTTTAAATGGATCATATTCTAATCTTATTGTATATTGTTTTTGCTAATTTGTAAAGAAAAAAAAGTTATAAATAAATCCTATTCTATAGTTTATATTTAAAAAGAGTTCCATATATTTCATATTTTACAATCAAATCTATTTTTTTGAGAATATAAAATGAATTTTGATTATGAAAGACTGCTTTATTTTATTTGTATTTCATAATTTACAGTCAGGTCCCATTTTTTAGTTTTGAAAAAGCGTTGCATTCACTTTTTTCGTTCATGAAGTGTGAAATAATGTCACAAACGAATGGTGCATAATATCTGTACCATAGTGGCTATGCTTCACGCCGTATGATACACCTATGTGGAATCCACATATTATGAACCAATGATGAAAGTCTAATGTATACTGGTGGGAGATACAATGGTTTTACATTTTGGCAAATTTGGGATCTGCGCTACTACAATGATAAATATCTCTTTCTTAAAAAAAGAAAAGTCATAAATAATGTCTTTTTTTAAAAAGTATTTCTTTTATGTGATACTTTTTCCGAATAAAGTCAATATTTGCAGTACTTGCTATTTGCATTACGTGGGGTGCTCAAACATGAGCCACCATCTGTTCTTATTAAGCCAAAAGATTTTACACTCCTGCGGGCGAGAGTATACTATCTATTTACTCTCTTGGGTAAAACCTAATATAAGAGTAATTTTAGGACTCTAATTTTTGGAATATAGCCTTTTAAATCCATAGACTAAATAAAAATTTTGGAATTAAAATATCTATAGACTAGAAAAAATAATGTCTCAAGATTGAACATAGATTGTCTAATATTTAAATAGGGTGAGCTCTAAATACCTAAAACTCAAATTTCCTTTGAAAATAATCATCTAGTGATTCTTAGGTAGTTCTCAAATTTCAGATTGAAAAAATCCTCCAAAGTAAATCTTTTGAATGAGGAAGTAGATGCTCAATAATACTTCCATGGGAGTGTACTAGACCATCCTCCCAAGTAGGTCAAAGTGCACAATGCAACTTAATTTTTATCGTGTTTTCTCCCTCGAAAATTTAATGCATTTTATAAAGAACAATTGTTTAATGCAGGCTGGACTGCATTTGTACAATATACGGTCTAGAGATATATTGTACAATGCAACCTAATTTTTATCGTGTTTTCTCCCTCAAAAATATAATGCATTTTATAAAGAACAATTGTTTAATGCAGGCTGGACTGCATTTGTACAATATACGGTCCAGAGATATAAAACATCCATCTTAAAGACGAATGCAAATAGGTGGTCCATCTAAAAACAATTGTAGCTAACAATCCAAAATTTTTTTTAATATAATTAGTATTTCTAATTTTCAAAATTTATTTATTTTTTCATATTCATGATCTAAATGTTAAATATTATATATTCTCTAGAAATTAAGATAAAATTATATTTCAAAAATTTATTTATTGCCAAACTTGCATTTCTACATGTGCGGGCTTGGCCGCATGCTAACCGCATCCTTTTAATAATGCAGCTGAAATGGCATCAATTGTTGAGGCAAAGGAATGCAGCAAGGATATTCTTGCTATTCCAATCTTTTGCATCAGTTCCCTTTGCAAATATACTTGCAGGTCTTACCGTGATCAGGGACATGGAAAATGCCATGTCCCTTTCAAGTGTAGATGCACTTGGCCTTGCAATACTTGAGTAAATCATTTTATTTGTACTCGGAGGACTCATTGCACCATTTCGTAATAACGTACTCGAAGGGCTCACTGTACCATTCCGTAATAAAGTTATGGATTTGAAGTTTTCATTTTCTGGAAAAGTTTCATTTTTATCTAGAGAAATTCTGAAAAAATTACTTAAATTTTAATGGTGAAATGGCTAGATCGGCCCGTTTGGATGTATTGATTTTTAGTAATAATGTTTTTCTCTCCACCCACTTGAGGGTCATAGTTATCTTAATT